TTAAGATCCCCATTTGAGCAGGATTTTTGCGTTGGAATGTACTGTTGGTTAGTGAATTGGATCCAAGGAGTGGAATAAGTGAGTAATAAGCTATTTTATAAGGCACAATTATGTGTATCACTGTTTGACACAGAAACGAGTGCCAGAAATACTGTCCTTTCAGACACAAACCTTTAAATGCTTGTGTTACATAGACAATAAGTATGAATGAAGAATTCCATGATGAAATGGGAGAAATATGATAGATAGAGATTCAATGATGTGTTTCAATAGTAAGAAATGTGTTGAACATAGAGATTGATGTTTGTTATCTTTAGCAAGGGAATCAGAATAATGTGATTCTTCCTTCCATAGGATGACAGCCGACAAGAATAAAGGTTTATAAACAATGCCAACTTGATGAGTGATGACCCTATTGTGCTATGTATTTTGGCATATTTGATTGATATATGTAGTAGGTAGGAATGGAATAAGAGATGTCATGTTGTGGCTTGGAAAAACAATTTGAGGAACAAGTATTGAGGAGTACAAACTTTTGGTTATTGCTAATGATTAGGCTCCAGTGTCCCGTAAGTTTTATGGACAGACTATTTGAATCAGATTGAAACTGTGTCAAAACTCTTGGTGTGGCTGGAGCACCCCAAGTTGGCCACCGATGTTTAACCAATGTTATCGGCTTGCAAAGTTTCATAAAAGACCTAACGTGGACCAGCATTCATGATCTACTCTACAAGCTTTCTTAATTCCATATTTAGGAATGAAGAATATTTCTAGGCACCACATCCCTTCAACTCCTACAAAATTTCATGCACCTCTATAACCCTATTGTTGCTCAAAACGATCCTCATTTGAACCTTCCAAATTGGGTATTAGTCCTGTTAGAACTAGAAAATAACCTTCCATTTGTTCTTCCCTTCACCTGACTTCCAATTAGTAGTTCGTTTAGTTCTTCAACCCAACACTAAACCTGATCCTCCATTAGAGTTTCTAATGAAGCTCCCATTATACCTATGGTTGCACCTCGTGCTGCTAAGAATTGCTACCTAAGCCAACTCCTCATACCCCAGAGCCACTGGCCAATGAACATCATAACCTCTATGGCCATCCCACTTTGTAATTTAGGCTTGCATGTGCCGCGTGTTATTATGTGGAACAATTGGCCTTCACAATTTCTCTCATAATTTCACTTCAAATAGCTTTGTGCTTCTTTACTACCCTGTAAAATCAGTTGTGAAGACAGGGTGATTAAGAGTCAGCCCGTGATTGAGAGATATATCTAATAGATAGATATGGGCCATTATTAAAAGAGGTGGACAATGGAATCTCCTTTCACGTTGTTGTTTGATAAGCTTATACTTGATGCAATGGCATACAATGGACGGCCCAAGTTCTTGCATGCCACCTCTTCTCAACCACAATGCAACATTCTTTTCCACACCTGTACCATGACCCGATTCGTTCTGCAAATTGATTCTTTGACCTGATATTCCTTCATAGAATTTAAGAATCAAATTTAACTTTGAAATGGGAGGGGTAAACCATTGCAACAAATCGGTGTATCATTTGAAAATTGGAATGAAAGATTAACAACTCATTATGAGTAGTTTTGTACCATTTATGTGATGAACTTCGATTATTTCCTTCATGATATGATTGAGAGCCCCTTCTATGCTTTGAACAGGGTTAGTTTTTCTCAATTATATACAGCTCTGTAGTAAGTCTGCAGATGTGTCGTTCATTTTTACCAAAGCAGGGGCTTCATTCCTTTCTCCACCTTTTGGTTCATCTTGACATATGATCCAGATGGTTGCAGCACACATGATTGTATGCTTTTTACTTGCATAAAAAAATGTGGATTTAATTTCCAAAAATAAATATTTGTCGGCGCTGCCTTTCCTGTTTCTTGGCTCTACTAAATTCGTGAGCCAACAAGGCTCTCTTAACCATTACTTTCCCTGGTCGCAAACCTCAAATAAGGCAAAAATCCAGTTTTGGATGATTTATTGCCATGAGTTGGCTAACACTGCAGGGTCAAACTATGAGTTGCTTGCTTTATTGGGTTCAAGCCAGGTCTAAGGAATTTAACCATGTCATCTAAAAAAATAAAAAGAATAACAAATCTTAATTAAAACCATAAAATTTTAATTAACATTTTTGAAAACATATTTTCATTACTTTTGTTAAAAAACAAAAGAAAACCTCACTACTAACTTTACATTAGGAAGCTTAAAATTAAATAATACAAGAATTTAAAGCTTGATTCGCATCTAGTATCATTGTTATATATGAAATGCCAAGCTTGAAATGGTATATGGGAAATGAACGTGTTTAGCAATTTGGATTTTAGGTTTTAAGATTTAATTTAAACTAAATGGATTAGATTTTCTTATTCTCAGTTGGATGTTTCTAATCTTTTTATTTGTTGTTTTTTATTTTTGAATTATCTTTAATTTTAATTACGATTATGCTTATACATTGTTAAAAATGGCTCTCTATAACATTGGCCTTTTTGACACCACTCTTTGGTATATCATTTCCATAACGTATTAGGTGGGATTTTAAGAGACCAGTGTTTCAAAAAGTGCTAGGCGGCACCTAGGCGACCTTGGGGGTCCAGGCTGCCCAGCACCCAGGCGGGCGCCCAAAACCTGGGGGGCACAGTTGAAAGAAAAAAGATAGAATTTTTTAGAATTTTGATATTCTATAATCTATCCATAATCCATATTTAATATTTCCATGAATAAGGAATTGAGGAGAAGTCGAGAAAAGAATTTTGATAATCCATAAAAATAATCCATATTTCATACAATGCTAAAATAGTAAAACCATACAAGCATACACCGATAGTCTGATACACAAAAAAGTTAGATATTAGAAGCTAAAAACTAGAAACTAAAAATAAAAAAAAGAAAATATATAGTCTAGGACACAATAGTTAACACTCAACAGTCGACACCAAGAGTTAAGCACTCAAGCGTCTTCAACTCGTCATTCTTCAGTCATCATCATCATCATCAGAAGGAATAAGGTAAGCCTCATCATATGTATCAGCTTCGAGGCCATCATTATCAGAGTCATCTCCCTCTTCAACATAATGCTCGTCCTCCTCTGTTTTTTTTCAATCTGCCTCTTCTGCCTCCTCTTCTTCAACCTCCCTCTTACTATGTGCATATGAGGCCCTAGCCGTCTTGGCTGCTCTACTCTTTTCTATCTTTTTGTGCTTCCTTGAACTCAGATATTATTTAATCTCCTCCCTGGTAGCCTCAGGAACATTTTTACACGGGGCAACATCCCCCTTAATATCGGTAAGGTGTTTTTTGAACCGGTAAATACCCCCATTAGTATCCTTTCCACAATAATTACATTTAATATGATTTTTGTCATTCGGATTCGGGTTATAGCCATACCTCCAACCCAGATCACCACTTCTAGAAGAACTTGGAGAAGATATTTCCATAGAACAAGGCTCATTTTCATCCTTTTCTGGTTTTTCTAAATTCATAAATTGTCTAATCTCATCCCAAATAGTTTAAGGAACTTTTTTACAAAAAACAACATTCACTTTAATACTGGCAAGATGTTTTTTGAATCGGTTAATGCCCGCATTGGTATCTTTTTCACAAAAATTACACCTTATACAATTTTTATCATTTGGGTTCGGGTTATGACCATAATTCCAAACCGGATCACTTCTTCTAGTAGAACCAAAAATAGACATATTTAAATGACAAGGATTTTATTCCTGTTTTTGTTTTACATAACTCATATATTGTTTAATCTCTTCTCTGATAGCTTCAGGAACCTTTTTACAAGGGGCAACATCCCCCGTAATACCGGCAAGATGTTTCTTAAATCGGTTTATGCCCCCTTTTGTATATTTTTCACAATAATTGCATCTAATGCAATTTTTGTCATTTGGATATGGGTTATATCCATATTGCTAACCTGGTGCTCCATTCGACTAGATTCTGAATAAGACTTCTCAAAATAAAACAAAGCAATCTAAAAAATAAAGTTTTGCACTTACTTTGATTGCTCGAACTCCAAATTTCCACCTCTGAGATATTTTTTGGTGCTAAAATATTCAAAAACACCCTCTAATAAGATGAAAAAACTCCAAAACTAAATCTAATATACTTGGGTGATGTTTGGATCCATTTTCCATAACTTTGAGAAACACTTCGATCTAATGGAAATCACAAAATCTAGTTTTTTTGAGGTTTATCTCTCTCTAAAATATTAAAATATGAGTTCTTGTTGGTTTAGGTTTCAAATGAACCTAAAACCCACCCTTAGAAACTTTTATTTTTCAAGAAAACTCAATATAATAATAATAAAAAAAAAAAGTCATTTCCGCCCTTGGGCAGGCCGCAGGCCCTGGGCTGGGCGCTGGGCGGCTGCCTAGGGACCACCGCCTAGTTTTGCAGCCTAGGCCTGGGCGATGCACCCAAGCCCTCTAGACAAACACCCATATTATTCTAGTGTCAGTCTTTCTACTACATGAAGAATAAATCCTGGGCCAGGAATGCATTTGTAAGCATCATGTTTTTGGAAAGGGTGGGGTTTCTGTGAATTCTATGAATCTGCTGACTCATACTATACATATGTGGGCCCCCTCTTAAACCATCTTAGTAAAGGATTTTTAATCTAAAATTTCAGTGATTCATGATTAAAGTTCAGATGATCATGAACATAAAAAAAAAAAACATTTTTGATATTCAAAATGTGATTTTTTTGAAAGAATTTTTACACTGTATAACCTTGCGAGTTTTTTACAACGTCCATCTTAAAGATGGTTGTCGGTGAGTCAGCAGGCTCTTGCACCTGCTGATTCATGAAGGACTTTTCCTTTTGGAAATTGTATTGGGTTTTTCTGGGTACAAAGAAATCCATGTAGCCGCAACCCACGTATCCATGTTTCTGGAGGTTTGATATTCAGAAAACGTGGAAATCATTTTTCTAACCTCCAAGATCAATCTCCTGAAAAAAGTTATATATTTACAGTAGATTGATCAGCTTTGAAACATTATTGGAGCCCAATCAATTCTTTTATTATGGGAGCAATTTGTAGATGCTTCTAAGTTTTAACCATTTTTGGCTTCTCAAAGTATGAGAAAAGATGGACATTGCAATTGAGCTAGATGGGTTTTGGCATAGTTGCAACTACACCAAAGACCGACCATTTGTATTAGTAGAATAAGTAAGGCTGATATTTACTTTTAGATATTTCCAGATGATGTATTGTTTCATGGATGCCGAGGATCCAGTTGTTTTCATTTTACAGGATGGTAGACCATTTCATTTTTGGATGTTAAGGTCCCAACTGTTTAATTTTACAAATTTCAGGTTATCTTATGCACTGTATTTATGAGTTAAACCCCTGGTTATGTTGCAGGCTGGTCAGGAATCATTTAGGTCTATCACAAGGTCCTATTATAGAGGAGCTGCTGGTGCACTTCTTGTATATGACATTACAAGGTATCCTTCAATCTTCTGCTTTTCTCATAAATGACTAAGGTACTTTTAGTTACTGTACTAAAAATCTATGGACTGAGTTGTTTTCAGGAGAGAGACTTTTAACCACCTGGCTAGTTGGCTTGAGGATGCAAGACAACACGCAAATGCCAATATGACCATCATGCTTATTGGTAACAAGTGTGATCTTGCTCATAGAAGAGCTGTCAGCACGGAGGAAGGCGAACAATTTGCAAAGGAGCATGGGCTGATATTTATGGAGGCTTCTGCCAAAACAGCTCAAAATGTGGAAGAGGTGATGGTCAAACCCAGTTCTGAAACTCATGCAAGTTTATGATCCTTAAAGATTTTCTTTTCCATTTTTCTCGTGATATGTTTATAAATCTGAAAATATTTGCAGGCCTTCATTAGCACAGCTGCAAAGATCTATCAAAAGATTCAAGAAGGGGTCTTTGATGTATCAAATGAGGTAGGTTAAGTTTGACATGCATTCATTGCAACAAAGTCACATGAGAGAGAGAGAGAGACTGTAAAAAATGTGCGTATTTTTGCCGTTCTTGTGGCAGAACTGCTGCTGATCTGCGCTGCTCGAAATTATTTATTTTTCTTTTGTTTCAGTCATATGGTATCAAAGTTGGGTACGGAGGAATTCCAGGCCCATCTGGGGGAAGAGATGGTACTGTTGCTCAAAGAGCCGGTTGCTGTAGTTGACCCACACATACACCTGTTACGAGGTTTATGGAATTAGTCATTGGCTTCTGATGTTTCTAGAATGTGCAGATCTGTTTTTTGAACTTCAATACTGTTTCTTTGATTTCTCTTGAAATGTGAAATATGCATGTAAAAGTTTGTACGTGAAATCCACATTTATCACCTTGTTCTTTGGTTCTGACTTACGAGAGCTGCAATTATGTGCATTGAAATGTAATAAAATGAGGTAAATGTGGTTCTTATGCCCTTTTCTTGTTAGGAGCATCTCTTGCATGCCTCTAGATGACAGTTGCTGGTGGAAAACCATTTGATCTAGAATGCTCTTTTGGAGTAATTGTTAACGTGGTTTGGTAAAAATTTCCACAATGATAAAGCCCTAGGCCCCTATTGTTGGGGGCCAGTTTGGATGTACCCAAAATTGTAATATTTTCAAATAACAAAAAAAAAAATAATTGAGATAGCAACTGAGAATTGTTTGGATAACTTCATTACATGTTATTCCCCAACAAAACAAACTGTGATGCTAAGCCAAAATTTCTAAAGTAGGTAGACTCAAATTTTTTTTTCTAAAGCATATAGACTCATTTTTTTTGCTCAAATTTAAAACTTTTGCTTCCCTAGGTCTCTCATCTTCAACTCTCTTTATGCAGATCCCATCTCCCAATATTAGTTCGATTTTTTTTGTCTCCAAAAGTTGGACATTGCGTCTTTCTAAAAATTGAACATTTCCATCTCTCTAGTTCTCTCATCTTCAACTCTCTTTATGCATATCCCATCTCCCAATATTAGTTCGACTTTTTTTACTCTCTAAAAAATGAACATTTTCACTTTTCTCTCTCTCTAGAAAGCCACCCCTTCTCTATCTAGAAAGCCACCCCCTAATTTCAACTGAGCTCTCTAGCACTTTGACGGGAGTTGTATTTTAACGGGGTTATTGGAGAGCTGTTGTACTCTTAGATTTCTTAGCATTATGACGGGTTACTGGAGAGCTGTTGTATTCCTAGATTTCCTTCAATCATGTCTTAGATTCCTTAGCATTATGACGGGGGTTGCATTTTGACGGGTTACTGGAGAGCTGTTGTACTCCTAGATTCCCTTCAATCATGTCCTAGATTCATTAGCATTATGACAAGGGTTGCATTTTGACGAGTTACTAGAGAGCTGTTGTATTCCTAGATTCCCTTCAATCATGATCCTGTGGTTTTGATAGTGGAGTTTTTCTATGTAACATAGCGTTTCTCTATCTAAATTTATAGATTCCCTTCAACCATAATTCATTTACAGATTCCATTCAACCATGATTCTGGGGTCTTGAGAGTGGAGTTTTCTATGGATTTTGATAGTGGAGTTTTTTTATGTAACATACAGTTTCTCTATCTAAATTTACAGATTCCCTTCAACCATAATTCATTTACAGATTCCCTTCGACCATGATTCTATGGGTATTGAAAGTGGAGTTTTTCTATGTAACATAGTTTCTCTATCTAAACTTCAACCATGATTCTACGGGTATTGAGAGTGGAGTTTTTCTATGTAACATAGAGTTTCTTTATCTAAACTTACGGAGGGTCTTGAGAGTGAAGGTTTTCTATGTAACATAGAATTTCTCTATCTAAACTTACAGAGTGGTTTTTTGAGAATGTAGAGGGAGATGTTTTACAACCTCTAAACATTTGAGGAAGAAGGTTTGAGAATGCAGAGGGAGATGTTTTACAACCTCAAAACATTTGATGAAAAAGGTTTGTAAAGTACGTCTCACCTCTTTTGCCCATCCATCAAGTTACTCTATCTTGCCCATCCATCAAATTACTCTCGCTCCATCCATCAAGTTACTATCTCTTACCCATCCATCAGGTGACTATCTCTTACCCATCAATCAAGTTACTCTCTCTTGCCCATCCATTAAGCTACTCTCTCTCCCATAATAATATTGAACTTCTCCCTGTTCTTCTTCAATCTGATCCTGCTTATCCCCATTCATCAAGCTTCTTTCTCTTGTAATAATATTGAAGTTCACCCTGTTTTGTTCATCCCCATTCATCAAGTTATTTTCTCTCTCATAAAATTTTCCCTGTTCCTGCTCATCTAACAAGTTACTCTTTCTCTAAAAATAATATTAAACTTCTCTATGTTCCTGCTTTATGGGTTCTTGACAGGGTTCTTCTCTATGTTCCTGCTTTATGGGTTCTTGACAGGGTTCTTCTCATTCTCTCTAACTCGTATATTTATAGGAATAAACTGAACATAAAGAGAAATATAATTAAATTCTGAAATTGTGTAAATTGGGTTTGGGATTTTTTATTGATTTGTTTAAAATATCATATTTTGAGTTATTTTTTCTATCATTTTCGACTACTATATGGAGATCAAGAATATGCAAAAACTAAAATTACAAACGCATCCAAATAGACATATCTGGCAAATAAAATTTTCTTCTCATATTTTAATAGACATCCAAACAGTCTACCAATATAATAAAATAAAACGATAATGTTTTTCAATTAAGAAAGGAAAAAAATTATATATTTTTTTAAATGTGAATATGGTTTCTTTGACATCCAAAATGGGCCTTAATGTTTTCTTGAACATTTAAATAGCTTTGGTAGTTAACAGTATCCACTTCATGAAATATACCAGAAGTCCAAAGAAATTTCAGATTGCCAATCTCTCTCTCTCACTATATATATATATATATATATGAAAAGTTTATTTAAAGTTGGAACCTTAAAATGTAGAAACACATATGCACCTCAAAAATCTATCGAAAATATTGTTTTAATGTTGAAAAAACCCTTTAATCGATCATCTTGCATCGAGATGTATGAATATCAAAAAAAAAGTTTTCGAGTATCAAAAATAGTGCATCTTGCAACACATTATCTAGACTGTCCACTTTCAAGATTTTAATATATTCATAGATCTACTTTATTTTAACCATTTTTGGAATTTAAAATTTTCTAATTAGGCTTGAAAAATAGATTTCAAGATAATACTAAGTATTTTTTTACAACAAAATTGCATGTTATAATAAAATTTTAAGGTGCGCTTTAATTGGATTGTCTACAGTTACAGCTCTATAAAAA